CATAAATTTACTCTTCTAAACAGACTACACTATTTTTCATTTACATGTGCTTCTATGTGAGGTTATTTATATATTGTTCTTTTTAATTCAGCCTAATTATTTTTCTAAAGATACAGAATTCAAGTTCTTTCTGAAACGATAAAAATGAACACTACTATGGAAACCATAAAATGGTGGAAAATCTGTATGCATCAAGGAGCGTCAACAGTCTAAAATGCTTCATGCCTTATACGTTAGTCACGCTTTCTTCACTACGACGGCTCCTAAACGCATTTTTAAGAATTGACTTTCAATGTTTCCAGTTTATCGGACAGGCTGTGGTCATACTTACTTGTAACCTTACACTAAAAAGCTATACTACTTTCCTTTCAGCACTGTTGATATGACTGAAAGTGGTGATGAGATTTTGTCAGGCAGCTAGGTGTAACCAGCCAATTCTTAGTTGCTTGTTACTGTAATATAATCCGGGACTAAAAAAATAAATCCTTAGAAACCGAGATTTTTCTTTGAGATAGCAATCACAGCAAGTTAAGTATCACTGAGGATGATTGCTTATTAAGCAACTATTACGATATAATCACTAGTTCACCTAACGCTAGTTTTGAATATTTTTTTAAAGTAATATCAGTTGTCAAACTTTAAAGTCTTAAACACAAAGCAAAAATCTTTTGTATCCACTTTTTCCGTCTGTACCGTGCTGTGCAGTTTTTAATTTGGCTGTTGCAGTCCTTTTCAAGTTAAAATTGATGAGTTAAACTCTACTTATTTACCACAAAATGCAAAATTTTTCAGTTGTTCTTTTAAAATTCTTAATTTTTCAATCGAACGGATATCGCAAACTACACAATGAGTACTGCTTTAAGCAGCATTTTTTGAGAAGACAACTACATTTTAATCTTTTGAAATAAGCCATTTTTCTGAGAACTTCATTATGAAGGTTTTTCAAATATGCAGGTTACGAAGGGAATTATCAAATTGAAATAATCTTTCAATATCACCTTAAAAGCGTTGAGTAAGCATTTCGTACAAAATGATATTATCAACATTCAGCATTGTCTGATACTTCATTAATTCATTTCTTTATCATTCTGTGATAGTACATGTCAGCCCACCGCTCAGTACCATTTCAGATATTTTTGCCCTATCGTCTTAGGTTTGCAACGTATTTTTTCGACTGAGTCTGATCACTATCAAGGCTTAACGTATAAAAAATTGTAGAAGAGTAATTCTGATCTTAACAGGAACAAAAATGATAGATTTGAAGAGCAATAAGGAAAGACATAAGTAAGCATCTTCCTAAAAGGAGGGGAATTGCTGTGTAGGCCGATGTGCGGCGTCAAAAGCTGGCGTTTTCTGATGAATATATTTCCCAGAAAACCTAGAAACCACAAATCAGCCTTCGATTGGCAACAATAACTTGCCTAAAATACCTGACAAAAAGTAAGGATCTATTAAAAGCATGTATCCTATTAGATTGATCCTGTAACGAAATGTCCCCTCATTTGGTAGATATCTTGTCATTGCTGAATGTTCCACGACTTCACTCTATAACAAGGGTTACAAATAAACCCTTCATTAGGTCTTAATGATTAAACCAGAAATACAAAGTTCGTAAAGCGAAATGCAGCAATGTGCGGAAAATGTTGTTTACCAGGACAGTAAGAAAGACGTTAGCAGAATATTCAAGGTAAAACAAAATGTAAGCCTTTTTCAGGGCCGATTGGCCGTTCCTCCTTGTGTGGATTTAGACAATAACATTTGCTTTCACAACAGGGGTGCGACAGAACGCAGAAAAGATTTTGTAATCCATGCCAATTTGAAGTTTCTTGAGATAAAAAGTTGTTTAAGACAAGTAGTAACTTCATAAAAAAATTAAAAAGGTGTGGAGTTGTAACAGCACTTCACTTA